CAGTCTCGCCAAAATGGAGATGCTAGGTAGTAAACCAGCATTGAAGAAGTATGGTTAAATTTCCCGGTTTATTTGGGTATATATGACCCGTTCTGCTTTATATATCTAAACTGCTGTTCATGAATGAAGTTTTTTATGATAAAATTAAATACTAAGGCACGAACAATCCACAAAATTAGGTCTGAAATTGATAGTCACGTTTTGATTATTTAATATGTTTTAAAAAGATCGTCTCCCTGCTTTGAATACAGTTTTACTCTATCAACGCGTGCATTAAACATATTAATTTATTTAGTATTTCATAACTTTTAATTAAAATATGAATAAATCATGTCAGACAAAATAGTTAATTAAATAATTATACTACTGTTACTTCAGTTTTTTTTCGTTAAACTTTCTAAAAATGTCTGTATTGGTTTTTATGTTAAAAACCAAATGAGGAAAATTTGAATACTTTTCATTTTTTCCCTAATATTTTGATCTTTGTAAGCCCATATCTGAACGACACCGAACTATTGCAATTATAAGACATCTGAGCATCGATAGAAAACTGCATTCCTAAAATAGTGACGCATATTGTCAGTCACAAAGCGACGGGCGGTCAGAAGGGACACAAAAGAAAAAGAGTATCTCGATTTATGTAAAATGTTAGCAATGATGGCAACCTATCAATAGGTGTACTGATCATAAAACATTGCAGAAAGATCCATATTTCCAAACGGGAGCACGTAACGACCTTGCAGAGAAATATAAGAAGAAAGCGTATTTTGTTTTATTTTACCTCGAACTTACAGAGGGATATTTGCCTAGATAGCAATCAGATTTTTCGCTGAAAAACAGCTGAAATACTTTCTCGCTGCTTTAAAGGGGCTGGTCGGGGAAAAAATATCATATTTGCTAAAATGGCATACACATGTTTAAAATACCTTCTTATGAAATATACCGATTCAAATTTTGCTGAAATTCACTCCCTAAGAGTAAAAAATATAATTATATTAAAGAAATCCTAAATCGTCACCTGACAGTCTAAAACTCTCAATTGACCCAGATCAGTGATGTAATTTTACCGCACGCGCACGCGCGTCATCAACAAGGCCAAATGTAAACATCGCGGCGAAAGAAAAAGATGCATGCAAAAGTCATGACAGGCACGAGGTATCAATACCGTTATATATAACAACATATAGGTAGGAATACTACACTTGCATCATACATGACCTTTGAAAACAATTATTTACGTATAGTATTGCTGTCTTGTCCGCTAGTTGAGTCTGACATGGCACATGACGGCGTGGTATTGTCGTAATCTTCACTGCCTCACTTTCGAAACAATCACGTGACATATAAATAGATCTGCGCTAAATTTACGCGGAGCTTCCCCGAGATTTCAGTGGTCAAAACTGGACATTGCAAGCAGAACTTGACCATCATATTGCCGTGGTATAACTTTTGGAAGGCCAGAGAACGCATTTAGACCCATTTATTTTGTAATTTTCCCACGACCAGCCCCTTTAAACCTTTAACTTTTATCACCAAAGAGGCGACATTTCTGTTTGATCAAATGTCAATCATGCTGTTTTCACTGTTCGCAAGTAGGTATACAGGTGGCAGTGAACAGTCAAAAATGTCATGTCATTGATGAATTAAATCCCTAAGCATTGATAGGTAAACAGATGAAGTACTTTGATTTGATAAACATATAAACGATATATATTACGATTAACAGCGGTTTAATCAATTAGCACATACATTAGAAATCAACCAGTCCTAATCTAAATGTTTGATTTTCTTAAATTTTGGGGTGTTTTGCACCTCCCGTTATGTTTAAACAGAAGTTTCGACAATTTGGATTTCAAAAGTGTTGGCCTCTACCATCACCAATGAAACCTAGAAGGACGAAGCAGGTATATGATGTATTGTAATTTATTTCTATTACTAAAGTTTAAAGGTACAATCACCTGTTTGTTTGTGTTACGTTATTCGTGCTTGTGAGTCTTGATATGACTCTACTGTTTACTTTCAAAGGTCATACAAGTACCTGATTTCGTATATTATGAGTGCTTTGACAATGTCAACAGGGCAGTAAATATAACGAGATAATAACTATATTGTACGTATTCCAGGCCCGAAATGGATAGAAAAAAGACACCAAAGGTGTCAATATATCCTCTACTGTGTACATGAACATTACAACGATTATATATTGTGTTACACTACATTAAAAAGAAGCTTCTCAGTTTTTGAAAGTATGTTTTATTTTGCATCAACCAACAGCAGTCGCAACAACAGTATAAAGTGACGGTATCTGGTACTCTAGTCAAGCCAACATTAATTTCTGAGTATAGAATTCCCGACTTTTTGTGGTTACGATCTCTGTGTGTATAATATATCTCAACTTCAGCAATTATCAAGGGACTTTTATGTTAGTTTGTTTGATTTCTCTTGCAGTTTAAAGATAAGTTGAAGCGCAGCATTGATAACATCGAATCTCTCATTTCACGGGTCACCGGCCCTAGAGCAATGCTATAATGCACTTTTGTGATGTTTCACCGAGCACAAACACTGTTAAGGAAATCTGCGGGGATTCCGCCCTATGCCATAGCCATTCAAACATACTCAAGAGGAACATAAAAGAGATAATAATATCACTGATTACAACTTTAAGAAAAAAACAGATTTCACGATTTGTTTATCTTTTATTTGGAAACATTTTTTAAAAATCTGACGTATAATGTTTAATTACATAGTAGATATCGACATTCTAGACATTTTAAATGCCAAGATCTCTAAGTATCAAGGTAAAATTTGAATGGGTGATATTTTGATAATTATTTATTACTTTACTGACATTTTCTCTTTTTTATTCGAAATCTTGTTTTGTTAACAGTATTTATTTTCCTGATTTCTATTTCAACCAAAAAGAATATATGTTCGTTTGATCCAAAATGACTATCTTCAGAATATACATATTATGGGATTCTTATTCTTTTACAAACAAAAGTCCTAATTATGCTTTTATATATATTATTACAACCAAATTCAGATATCTTAAGACATCTACCGTAACAATTAGCATTAAAAAATGATACAACTAGGTTCATGTACATGCATCTATTGACAGCTACCATAACTTAAACCATTACTATTGTTACAAGTAGATTTAGATATTTCAACTTCAGCAATTATCAATTAAGATAGGACAATGGATATCTACCGTAAATTACACCATTACATTTGCTTCAACTAGAATACGATATCTAAGGACCTTAACCGTAGTATATACACCATTAAAAATGCTAAAGCTAGATTTATAAATCTATTGACATCTACCGTAACGTATTGCAATAACATACAACTCTTCAACATTTTGGCAGGCACACGTTAAAATACCTTACATTAGAACATATGTGTATTATTTTAAATAACAATGCTAATCGTAGGTTTCAGAATGCCAAACTAGATTTTTACATTTTTTCTCCTATATGTTTACACAATTCACCAAAGTAGCATTTATTAGAGAGAAACGTGTTAAATATTGACGACACCAAACAGTTTTTGCGCGATAAATACCATGTATGTTGGGTGAAGATTGAACTGAAATGTAAAGTGTAACGTACAGTGTGTGCAGAAGTCGATCGGTGCAATGTGAGTTCATTTTAGGTGACGGAGTCGTTGCTATCGCTTTGAGGGTTGGCGAGGGTGAAATAAATAAGGTTTTTTACTTGAACAACAGTATAGTTAATACAGGACCAACTCTGTTCTTAAAAGAAGTATTATAGGTATTATTTGAGTCATTCGTATAGTATTCCTATCATAGCAGGTTTCTTGTTTTACGCCAATGCAAAAACTAAGGGCTGGTGGGGACGGTATTCAGGGAAAATATTGCCATTCACTAGCCATGTTGGTGTGTAATCACATGGAAATTTCACAAAAAGGTCACAGCAGAATCCGGTCGAATAATTTACTCACTCAGATGTCCCCTTAACTAGGTTGCAGAACAAACCAACTACTCCGCATAGCCCGATATTAGTCGCCTCGTACCATTATGTAGTGTGATACAGCAGACAATTTCGTATTCACTTCACTTGGTGTCATTTATATCGTGGTGACGATTTCGGAAATATCGGAGACAGAGGGTAGTTATTGTTGTGGTGATATTTTCGTAAATGTCATGTAAAAAGTTTTGTTTACGTGTGATTTTTTTTTGTAGATGCAATGGCGACATCAATTCCAGTTAGCATTGTCGACATTAAAGAAATAGCGTTGTTAATATCGGCGCAAATGTTTTGAATGTTTGTTTTGACAATGATGTCGAAATCGGAGCGAAGGTGTAATATGTATCGGAGCGACAATGCAGTGCGTATTAGATAGACGATGTCTTGATATAATTTTCATAATGTGATAATGTGATGACATTTCCGATGCCAAACCTATTAATAAGTGTGTCCTATACAAATGGAATTGGACGATATTTTGTGGTTTTTGAACATAGCAATAACAGTATAACAAACGACATTCGAATATCGCACTGTACCCTAAAGATGGTTAACCATTAATAAAGTGCAAAGGAAAACCACAGAATATATATTTTCTGCTTTAAACAAATAAACTACTTTGACGTTTCTCCTCTTATACCCCTAGCTTCAGTAACAAGATTTTCCTTTTCCGCGCCAGCAAACACCTGTTCGGCAACTAAGAGTGGATATTACACACAACCCAGTATCGACCAGAGAAAGAAAAGGCAGCGTTTAACTGTGTCTGTTGCATAATCCTGTTCACAGTCAATTCGGTTTTGATCTCAAATACACAAAAAGCTCGCGCTTGCTGTTTTGAGTTCGTATATACCTTTTCTCAATTATCATGACCGCCTGTGGAAGTAACAGCCCTCGGCATTATCACATCCGCTTGCAGATAAATTACATTTACTTATGGGCTAACATAAACCTGTTAAAGTATCAAATGGGGAGCTGATACATAAGTTATGTATAACGTATACTTACAGGAGTGTAGACATTCGACTATGGTGGTGGCATCGATCAGATATCCCCCGCAGAGGACGCACACGAGATGAGGGTTGAGCTCTGTGATCTTAAGTCGAGTCGAACGATGCATGGTGTACAGCGTTTTCTTCCCACTTTACATGGATCTGCACTGAAACAAATAAAACGTAAATTAATTAATGATAAGCTATCAGAAACGGAGAATCTCTCGCAAGGTCGTAATTACGATTATAATGATATCAAGTGTATGTCTGTGTGTGTGTATGTTATATAAGATTAACATGAAAGACGTTTACCACACTGGGCATGAATGTGTTGTAGAGTAAACATTATCTGGGATAAAAACTATGGCAGTACATCCGACGGGGGCATATCGTGATCATAATCTCTACAGTCATTCACTTGCACACACAAACATGAATAAAAACACGGGGATATAAGTCGGCTCAAGTGATTCAACTGGAGAAGGACGTCAATGCGATTGTGGGGAGTTGTATCTAAGTGCCGTGGTTAAAGGTTTCAAGTGAGGCCCGCTGGCGTGAACTTGAGGAACAAGACACTACACAATCTCCCTACATCACGCTCCTCCCGCTTAAATACTTCAATTTTCTCCAATTTCGAACAATATACAAAGGCTTGCATTAATGAGATTGTTTGCGCACGATGTTTTTGCTAGGTATATATGGGTTTTAACATAAACACAAAGGAATGACTTTGTAATGAATTTATGATTACGATGCTATTTTATTGGCGAGGTTTTGGTCGTACATCAGATGATTTAATGATAACGTCTAATCACATTAACTCCTCAGAAGGCAATATTATTATTTATTTACGAACAGCCAGTATACGTACTTATATAGTAAGTATTCTATAAATAATAATATTATGTCACCTTTAATATCTCTCTCTCTATATGTGTGTGTGTGTGTGTGTAACGAAGCTGATAAATTCTTACACAAGAACTATTTTAATCAATTACGTGCAGTTAATTATGACATCATTAATAAAGTTCATATCAGAATGTACATTTATCCATGATGACCGATTTATTCCTCATTGAGACAACTATTTATTGAAAACGATAAAATAGGAACAATCTTGCGACCTTTTACTACAACATGTGGTGGCTCAGATCTATGCTTATCCAGCCTTGTCAATTCATGACATCATATACGTAATCACTAAATAACTAAAAATACTGCCGAGTCATGCTATCAATTATATTTATAAGAATAACATACAGTATACCTAGAAATCGGATTTTGTATTTATGTCTACACTACCCAGCCTACACTATTGTCTGTCGTCACAACAAAAATACTACTGTCTCCGTAATCAGGTGTTATTTAAACCTACCTCAATACACTTAATATTCTCTATGTATTGTAATTTATTAACACATCATGTTATTTTAAATACGCAATCTCCATAAGAAAACTAAAAGCTGAAGAAAAACATTATTTTTGTTTTCAAAATATAGATAGAAATGTCATCCCACCATGTCAGAATCTGATCTATAATTAGCAGAAAAGTCAAGTACAAGAACGGACAAGACACTAAAACGAAAGGAAATACGTCAACTTTTCAAAGAACTTCCATTGCACGAAAAAGATAAATATACAACAAAGTTCAACCGGTTGTATTTTATTGTAACAAAATTCAGTTATTGAATGCCAATAATTCACGAATGTAAAATTAGAATAAGAATAAATGTACAAATGTATTATACAAATCATACCCTAACAAACACATTTGATATGTACATGTTCATCTTATGCAACTGATTTCAGTAATATTTCATTCCGGATGTCAGACTCAAAAGGTAACATGTATTATATATTATTGACTGTGCATGTAGAATCACAAGTAGCACCTGTTACCTAGATGTTGAAACAGACTAGTCATGTGTATACACACAGAAACAGCCTGGTCTTAACACATGTTACAATTCTTTTATTCAGAATGCAATGAACATGCATCATACTCTCCATACATTTATAAGATGTTTATTTTTAAATAATTAAAAATACCGATAATTAATTGGATCTCATATCAAACAAAAATCCAGAAACAACCAGGTTTTAATACATTTTAAAACCTTTCATTCAGAATGTAATGAAAGTGCCTCATACTTTCTGTTATATCGTTAAGAAAATTTGATTTCATACAAAAAACAAGTCATTAAAAATACCGTTAATTAAACTGGAATTAATTTCAAACAAAAAGCCAAAACCAGTTTTAATAAATAATACAGCCCTTCATTCAGAATGCAATGAAAGTACCTCATACTTTCTGTTTATTTATAAGAAATTTTGATTTCTTTCCAAACAAAAAAAAATAAAAACCATTAAAAAAATACCTATAATCAACTGGATCTCATATCAAACAAAAAGCCAAAAACAGCCGCCAAGTCTTAATACATATAACAGCCCTGCATTCAGAATGCAAGGAAAGTGCCTCATACTTTCCGTTTATTTATAAGAAATTTCAATTTCTTACAACAAAATCATAAAAAATCATTTAAAATATCGATAATCAACTGGATCTCATATCAAACAAAACGCCACGAGGTCAGTATTTTAACCGCAATATCAAATAACGAGTATTTTAACCGCAATATCAAATTAAGAGTATTAAGTTTTATAGGGAACACACGATGTGCCATTAGCTATGAAATCTGTATTGCTTATAAATAAGTATCCAAACATATTTCTGAATGTAGTCGGCTGTTTGTATTTGTAGCGATGGTGATTTGATGCAGCAGAGAGATAATGTCTACCTAATATTTATAGATTATATTCAACCCTGCGATCACCTCACAAATGTAGCTTTTATGTTAATGCCAGTAGCTTAATGCGATTTTGACATTATAGTGTATCAAATTTTCAAAATATGAAAGATCAATGGTAAAACTAAACCAAACAAATATACGCCGACAGTTATCTTCTGTTACAGTTTCCGATGTTTCAATTATAAAATAGGAAATACGATTTCACAATTACAAATCAGGTGAAGATAACAGATAATGATATTTACGTTCATTATACTAGGAAAATCGGCAAAAAAACATGATATGCCTTTATTATTCTGCAACATACAGAAACATGTTCATCTTTTTATTCTAAACATCGGTTGAAAAACATTTTGTACTAATAAAAGAATTCGTTATCTTTTGTAGCAAAAGTTGTACATTTTGGCCTTACAAATGTTTGTTGTAGGCTTTTTTGCCTTTCGCTGTATTTGAGAACACTTAAGGGTTTCATAACTTTGACCTTACGTCTTAAGATAAAGTAAAAAGGTAGTAAATGGTTATTTGTCTGGTTTTCTACATATTTTGTTTTCAAATTTCTTACAGATTTTTTAACTTCTTATTTCTAGCGATTTTTCCCCAAATAAGCATTCAGACTTAACAACTTTTTTAAGAAATTATTGTACATTAAGTATATACCTAATATGCTATACTTTGACTGTTGTGTGATAGCGTTTTGTTTTGTGAAGGCCTATAATGTTCCGCCTCTTGTCATTGATTTTGTTATCAGTATCTTCTCCTGTGTGACCATCCTCGATCTCTAGGAGTTACGCTCACGTCGCTTGTAGAGAGCGAAAGTGAGCCTAACCCCTGGATATCGAGGATGCTGTGTGATCGATTTATTGAGATAAAGTTTTGGCATTGTGTATTGAAGACATGGATTAGTTGGAAAGTGTTCCTTCAAGAGAAATACAGTTTATAATAGAAATCGATATTGGGACACGACGAATACGCTTTTTTATAATGAAATCAAAATATGACTTATGATAATGAATTTGTTAGTTGTGACTTAGTGAGTGAGTTAGTTATTTAGTTAGTTACAGGAACAAAGTGTATAACTAGCTAAAACTGTACTATATTTGCCTTATATAACATTTACTGATTGTTTTTTTTTATATTTAAAGTGCATGAACCATGCAATGAAATATTTTAATTGATTTTCTCGTGCTATTTTCATCACAGGTTTATATGATGATTATGTTCATTAAAGAAACATCATTTAAATTAAACTTGAAAAACGAACATTTCAAATCCTTTCATTAGTTCCTTTATAATTAAACAAAGGAAACCACATCATTACCTCGGGCAGGATTTCAAAAGCTAACTTGTTGACCATGTATAAGTACTTCCACTACTTATGTACCTCGATTAACGCGATTAAGATGATACCAAATGATGCCCGGAGAAAAAATGAGAAAATTGTCAATATTTTTGTATTTGTTTCACAATCAGTTATTTTTCAAGTCGATAGATTGTTTTGGCTTAAAGATATATAGCTACATCAGGTACGTTGTCGAACGTACTTAGTAAAGTACACCAATGGCGACCTTAACAGAAGAGTTTGAATGCGTTCGACGTCAGTAGCATATATATATATATATATTAGTAGATTGATATGTATCACGTTGTATTGAACATTTATTTTGTTCAGACTAGATATAAAGAGAAACACTATACATAGCTATCTAAATACAGATTAATTAGAAAATTTCTATATTTACTTGTTGTTTTTGATAAATCCAACTACATTACATGTTGTCTTAAACAACAAACAACATACCTTTTTTATTTGTAATTATTATAACTTACTCCATATCTGTTAGAGATTTAAACAATGTAATAAATCGATTTATATATTTATATTTAGTACACATAATTATATTTCAAATCACATTTTTAAGCAAGAGGTTATTGATTGAAAAAATGGTAGTGAACTTGACTCGATTATATCAAACTGCTATTAATGATGCTTCAATCAAATGTTATTTTCACTTTTTGAATAAGTAATATATACTTTTGCTGATGTCATCTGAAGGAGATAAATTTGAATAACATGACAAACATATTTTTGTTAACAATTACATAATAATGAAAATATCACTGATTTATTTTTACTTCTGTGTGTAATGCGTTACGTCATGGTGAGGTGCTTATTAGTCAAAACATTCCGGAAATATATTCAGATGATGTTTCATAGAAACATATATCACACCAAAGGAACTTCCTCGTTGGCGAGGTTTTATCCATCAAGATGTGCTGTTATATTCATCGCAATATTTGGAGACTAAATGAAGTATTTCCTGTATTTTATGTATTTATTTTTAAGCTTTCGGTGGGTT